ACTATGATTTATTATAAAATTCATCAAAATAAAGCCTTTTTTAACTGGTATTTATTAAATAAATATGCAATAAAAAATTTTTTTAAACTTATACATATATTCTTTATATCTTAAAATATATTTTTAAATAATTTTTTTTTTAAAGTTATTTTGTGTAATGATCTAATTCAATACATTTAACGTAAAATTCCACAAACTTTTATTAAGCTAATATATCTTGCACTATTAAAGAATCTTGTTCATAATATTCTAAAGAATATATTTACAAACTTTCATGAGTTTTGAATACTTCATTATTAAAATATAGACAAAAATGTTATGCATTATTACTTTTGCCAGAGATTATAAATTAATCAGCCTTTTCAAAAAAATAATTTATATTAAAGTTAATCTTATTTAAAAAATATTTATTAAAATTAAAAAATTTTATATAAAATAAAAAAATGTGTTATATTTAATAAAACTCAAGTATTTCTTTTTTTATTACTACTATATATTGAATTATATATCAATATATTATATAAAGAAAACAATATTATTTTTAAGATTTTGAATTTAAAAAATTAAACTTAAATTAAAATAAACAGAATAAAATATTTAAATAATTATAAATTAATATAATATAAATTATAATATACATTTTATATTATATTATAATTTAATTTTAATTTTTTGTAAGTTTAAGTTTTGTTTTAATTTTAAAAAAATTCAAATTATATTTTAATTTATTATATTAATTAGATTATTAAATAATAAAAATAATAAAATATTTTATTTTATTAATTACATATATAATATAATCTTTATAAAAAGAATTTTTCTTGCAATGAATCTTATATTAAAAGAGAATCTGAAATACATAATTAATTTGATCATTATATAAAAATTGTTATTAAAAAAATTAATTTTTATGAAATTATTCTGATTAATTGAGTATTATAAGAAGTTTTTATTATAAAAAAGCATTATTATGAGATCAATTTGTATAAAATATTATATAGTATTATAATATGATGCAAAAAGTCTAAAGTGCTAAAATTGAATATAATTTGTTGAATTCTTAATAATGTTGAAATTTTACAAAATGCATTTTTAAAATTGTATTTTTTTAATAAAAAAATATACTTGAAAATTATAAAATAAAATCATAGCTTTAATAAATACTTTTTAAAATCTATTCAACTATTTATTTTTTTTTATTTAAATTTCATAGATAAAATCTTTTACAATTAAAATTGTTGAATAACTTTAGACTTCTTGTAATAGGTTAATCTAAGATAATCCTTATGCAGTATAATATACACTCAGTGAAAAAAAGTTTAGAATCGGAAACGTTTTGCGAAGAAAATTCAACATTGATCTAATGTCCATAGTTTCTATGATATTAATATTGCCATTTTAGGAAAATTAATCAATGCTGAAGTCGCTAGAATTTTTTCTGCGCAAAACGTTTACCGATTTCTAAGCTTTTATACATCCTAATTGAACACGCATGCACGCACACGCACAGCAATATTCAAAATTTCACACGTTTTATTATATTGTTGTACAAATCAAACAAATAAAAACAATGTTCGATTCAAAATTCCAAAATTATTATATCTTTTAGACATTTTTGTAAATAAATTTAATTTTATAAAGCAAAAAGTTTTTATAGAAAATAGATTGCGCGATATTTAATTATTTTATAATCTTTTTTTTTAATTTGAATATTAAATGTCATCAACGACGCCGTTTCCATTTTCGTTTTTCACGCTTGAAATATTATATTGGTTGATTGCGCTGGGCGTCATCGTCATAAGCGGAGTGAGTTTTACGATTTATATATACCGAACTCAAATTGTAGTTCGAGCAAGCTTATTTGCGAAGCTAAGAGAGACAGCAAATATTTATTCATTGATAAAGTTACATATTTCTTTAGTTCATGGCTTTTTTAATAGCGGTAGCTCCAAAACCGCGTAAACGCACCGAAAAAGAAAAATATTATATCTCAGCAAGAGTTGAGGAACCTCAACTACTACCAAATATCTTTCAGGAGTCTACTGTAGACTTAACAGTAGTCGTGCCTGCTTATAATGAGGAGACGAGACTTCCGACAATGTTGAAGGAAACTGTATCGTTCTTGGAAGAACGACGTAAAGAGTTCAAAGATTGGAAGTACGAAATTTTGATAGTCAATGATGGAAGTACTGATTCGACTAAAGATGCTGCGTTAAAATTTGGCCAGGAAAATTTAGATGTGGATCTAAAAGTTTTGACATTAGAAAAGAATCGTGGGAAGGGAGGAGCTGTTACACAGGTTAGTATGATAATTCCTTGCGATAAAATTAATATATATAATATACATGTATTAATATTAATATTGAATGGATGAATTAGGGTATGCTTTCGGCTGGTGGTAAATATATATTGTTCGTGGATGCGGATGGTGCTACTAAATTTTCAGATCTAGCTTTATTAGAACGAGACCTCGCAAAAATTGAGAGTGATGGGTTTGGAGCCGCTGTTGGCTCTCGTGCTCACTTAGTTGAAACAGAGGCAGTTGTGAAAGTAAGTGGTGATGATTCGATTAATAATGTTATCAAAAAGGTTTTTTGATATTAATTAAATTATTCAATTCTTTGATTTATTAGCGATCGTTTATTCGAAATTTTCTGATGCATTCTTTCCATAAAGTATTATATTTATTGGGAATTCGTGGTATAGGAGATACTCAATGTGGATTTAAATTATTTACACGAAAATCAGCACAACGCATTTTTATTAATATGCATGTCGAGCGATGGATATTTGACATTGAAATGTTATTGATTGCACAACATTTTAAGACACCAATTGCCGAGACTGCTGTAAATTGGCATGAAGTTGATGGATCCAAAGTATCATTGGTCAAAGATTCAATTCAGATGGCGCTCGATTTATTAACTATTCGATTAAATTATCTTTTTAAAATTTGGAACTTTGAGGATCCTCTATCGAAACCTAAACGCGGTTAATCTATGAATAATAGGGATTTTAAATAAAATAATTAGCTCAGCCATTTTAAATGGTTAAAAGAGAAATGTAGATCGAATCAAAAGCATTATAATCCATTAATAAATAATATAATCGAAATCAAAATGATTACTCGTGACAAGAAGTTATTGTTGTGCGTTGGGTCGACCACCTTGACCGCCTTGACCACCTTGACCTCTCTGACCTTCTTCCTCCGGGCCCCCTCCGAATAATAGTACTATTAGCAAAGGAACAATGTATATCCTGAACATGAATGAGAATATATTAATAACTATTGTTAAACCGGCAAATGTGAATTGCCACATCTACTCACCAATATTTCTGTAAAAATGATTTTTCAGGTGGTGGGGTTTCTATGGTACCATCTGGTCGAAGTGGTGCGGCTTTAGCCAATTTAGGACTAAAATCCAAATTTAAATAATTAGATAAGTTAATCCAAATAAAGTTTACAAAGACAAACTTACCGAACACCTTTGACTGCTTTGATGGTTTGAGCAGTAGTCTTGAATTTAGGTATTGACTGCAGATGTTTTATTTTGAGATTTAATCATTCGTTTTCTAACTAATTATGAAATGCGATTAGCAGAAAAAACTTACTGGTACATTCTTGTATGCATCGCTAGAAGCAGTGCATAGAGGTTGAGTAGTGTAATAATCAAAATGAAAGAGATTGCTATCTTTGTCCAAGTGAATTATAATCTCATCTTCGAAATCTGATGTTAACAATAAACACTTTTAATAAAAATATTCAATTAGATTTTATAATATCCTGATATAAATTACATAACAATGATAATAATATTATTATTACTGACCCATTTTGTAAATGAGATAAAAGATTTATTTGGATCCTGTTCATCGACTAATTTAATATGATACAGTATCGTGTCATTGTCATTTTGACTATTTAACGAATCGGTCAAGGTTAAAGATGCATCATTCTCGTTATCTGCAGGTGAGTATTTTGCTACACTACGCGATGGAATTAAAGTCAGTTGACCTCGTTTCTTGAACGTGGATTCTGGATAAGAGAGTTTATGGTATATGGTGTACTTGTGCTCGTATAACTGCTCTTGTTCCTAATAATATATCATTATTTACATATTATTCAACTAAGGGATGTTAGGGAAGAGGAGAAACTCATGAAGTTCGAGGAAATTAACTCATTTAATTACGTACTACTTCTTCCTTCTCAGTGTCTATCACTGACTCTGAAGAAACAACGTTGTATAGCAACGAGCTGATGCAAAGTAGTATGAACAGAACACGAAGTGAAGTCATGTTTCGTGAAAGTAAAAAAAGTGCTGATCAAAAAAATTTAATACACTCAAAAATATATGTATGACGTAAGATGAATGCTTTATATTTGGCTTCTTGAATGATTTGGTAATCATCGAAGTTTACCATGAATTCAGTGCACCAACTTGACGAATTGGTGAAGGAATATTTGCTCGTACGTTTATTTCTTTTAATTTGTCTTAGATTTTCGTTATAAGTACCCTTAAAGAAAATTCATTGATTCGTTGAACTGATACAACTTGAATGAACAGTTCCGTGGCTTTATAAATACTTTTCGTGCTTTTGAGCAGGAGAACAAAACCGATAAAGATAAAAGTTTCCAAGTATGTATGTGTTGTAAATTGACTTTTTCCTATCTGACATACTGTTCCTATATGCTTCTCAAATATATTCATGAATTCATAACTAATTAACTTAAAAATATTGTAGGCTGATAAAATAATTGATGAATTATACAGTTACGTCTCGAATAATGATATTAACGGGTTACTAGAATACTGGAGATATTTGGATATTCGATATTTCTCACGATTAGATGGGCGATTTTTTGGAAGTGTAAAAAAATTCGAGACATGCTTATTGAGATATTATTTAGTCCATGGTAAGTAGACAACAATAAATATACATAAACGGAAAATTTCAATTACACAAGATTATTCTAAAAAAAAGATGATTTATATTTTTAGCAACACAACATAAACGAAAAGACAAAATTGTGGAGTTCTTTGATACCTTTGGTGCAGAACTTAATGGAAACCCAGAATGGACTAAATGGTTCGGTAATATATAGTGAGATTTTTTTGCTAAGTTTCACAATAGTTAAATTTGTAAACATGACTAACAATCGGTAGTATTCAGGTTTGCCGTTCTCAAAGAATCCTGTATCTGATCCAAATTTTGAACCTTTTTTCACCAAACAGTGGTTAGAAACGTTTACGGTATCTTTACATAATTTCCTGAATGCTATTTTTCAAAATATGCGTATCCTTATTTAATCAATTGGTGACGACAAAATTTTTAAATCGAAGAGTTACGAGATAAAAATTAATATTTATCCAGAACAGGATTTTGTATTGTCCTTAATTTAAACATTTTTTTTTTGAAGCGTTACCTAGTCTTTTGTGCTTTAATATTGATCGTCTTCATAGAATCTCATTGCAAAATGAGATTAAAGATCTTCATAATATCATTGAAAATCTCAAATCGGAATTGGAAATTGGTGATCATGAGATAACGACGTTAAAGCAGAAGGTTTTTATTCCGCATTCTATCTTTGTTGAATTAAGCTTTACAAGCATTAACTAAAATTCATAATTTTTGAATTTGCAGGTTGCACGTAGTGAACATGCGACAGGATCCAGAAGACGACGTGCTCTTTCCATGGTCGAACACAAGAAAAAAAATGAGTAATCTATCTTCATTTTGTTCAATAATAAGTTTGGGTTATCAATGTTAATAAGATGCTGATCTTATTGATTCAACAGAAATGGTGTTGAAAGGCTTTCAGTTCCTTCTTCACAAGGTAATTAAATTTAGAAATTTCTTTCGACTTGTATGAACACGATTAGATTTTTCTACAGTGTCTCAAAAATAGAAATTTATAGGGAAAAGTCAAGTATCAGCAAGTGTTCCAGTTTCTCGATCAGTTACTCCTAACAAGCAACATGACGCGGGATCAGTTATTAATAATCATAATAAGAACTTGCAATCACCAAGATCTTTGCCTGAAGAACGTGCTATTTCTCCTATTTCAGAATACACGTTGGACGAAGAAGATGGAGAATTAGATGGAGATGAGGATGAACCTTTTATTATTACTAGCCAGGTAATTTGACCTTATAGTTACCTTCATTATCCTCATGTTTGTAATCAATATCTCTCTCTCTCTCTCTCTATATATGAATGAAATAATAGGAATTATACCTGAAACATACAACTGGCATTTCACTAGCGAAATTTTCTTATGAGGGAAATTCGATTGCTAGCTGTGATGCGGATAATACAGTTAGGTATGCTTTTCTTCGAATACGAATTAAAATTACATGATTTTCTCAAAAATTTATAAATTATATATTAAACAGAATATGGGATTACTCTGGTGATTGTTCCACGTCAGAAATCAACAACCCCGAACACAACATTCTTTCCATGGAATGGGAATCGAGATCCGATAAATTTGTATGTCTACATCTATATAACTATATATCGGTTTGATCAAAGATGCAATAATATTTATATATAAAAAAGATATTTCTTGGCACAGATGAACGCTTAATCCGAATGTATAATCAAGAGGGCAAATCGGTGGTGCATGAATTTCAAATGGAAGAACGGCTTCCGAGAGTCAACCATATTTGTTGTTCTCCGACAGAGCCAATTTTTGCTTGTTCTGGAAGTAATGTGAAAATTCGTCGGGATAATTCCGGTACAGGTTCATCTGCTTTGGTCTGCTGGAATATTAAAACGATGTCGATACAGGTATTTCATGATACTTATGAAATCGTAGTCGATGTTTGTTTAATACATTAAAAATAACAACAATTCATGTTTAGGAAACTTTCTGGTTGGATTCTTCATCGAAATCTAATTCCGTCCCAATAGAAACCATCAAATTTAATCATAATGGTCAAATGCTAGTGACTGGCGACAAAACAGGATATATTCGGATTTTTGGTAAAGGAAAAAAAGAGATTATTTCGTTTCGTGTTGTGTTTATTCAAAGAATTTAATCTATAATTTTTTTATTAAAGATATTCGCAAATGGTCTCCAATCATGGAATGGAATATATCCAGTGCTTCATCCACAACAAATACCAATAAAGCTGGTAATGGTATGGTTTGCGCTGCATTATTTAGCTTTGATGAGAATTCGATATACGTAGTTGATGAGAGCGGGCAGGTGTGTAATGCGAATTTTTTTGTTTTAATGAACATTGCTTATATGATTAATGCAATTGTTCTCCTTTTTTACGTAGTTATCTCAATGGTCGGTCCACAAACGTGGAAGTCTCCTATCTCAATCCAAATTACACGGCTTCCCACCTACAATATCGATATCTTCATCATCTTCATCATCACTCTCTCCTCCACAAACACAAACACAAACAATAATACAACAATCCAGTACCCTAAGTTTTCCATTCCCATCAACCTTCCGAAGACGAACAGTTTCCGCATCATCAACCCGAAGCGCAAATTCAACGCCTACAATCGTCGTTGGAGATGGTAGCAATAGATCATCACATTTAGCGCCTCCTTCCCGAGCACCAATGATCGCATTTAGTCCTGATACTGAGCATCTTGTGTGTGTTGGGGGAATTGGCGGATGTCAAGGAATGATCTATCAGGTGAGTGGAGAAAATAGGTGAACGGCTATGTACTCTCTTTGGTTAATAACGTTATTGTTAATATTTATTCTTTCATGATATTTAAGACATCTAATGGAGAACAAATGCAAAGCTTAGCTTCACATTCTCAATCCTTAACGTCGGTTGATTGGTCAGCAACTACCGGAAATGCTATTCTTACTGCTTCGACGGATGGAACACTGAGACTCACAAAGATAACAAAATTTTTGCAATCATAATCGTATTTATTCAGCATATTATAATTATTCATTTATTGGAGTATATTATTTATTATAAATTTATAAATTATAATATATAATTAATATATTATTTAATAATTTGGACAAAGCTATAAGTCGGGACTTGTGCTGTCTTTATAGAATAACTTAGTATTTTTTTTAAATTAATAAATGATAAATTTTCTGATCTGGACAGTTAAAGAACAGATCAGACTTGAATCACTAGTCTATGCCACTTTATTCCAAAATCACCGTTTCAAGTGGGTCTCTGTCTGTATAAAGTAGCATTCACTTAATTCTATAAAACGTCATCAACATCATCAAACGTAGAACTACATGTAGCTATTACAATTATCCAAAATTCATCGATTATATTAATAAAACTAGCGCTCTATAAAGTCTAATAATAAATTATTGTTCAAAGATCTTGTTTTCTTGCCCATCGAATAGTATTGGGTGTGTGCGATGAGGTGAACGTAAAAATAAAGATTAACTTGGTTGCATCAACCGAATATCCACTTTACATTCATGATTCTCCTTGTGCCAATATGACATTGCTAATATAACACCATGATAGTGAACCACCGCAGCTGATACAACACACACATGAAATATTTGGTGAGATGCCCCCTAATAACGTATTGTATTAGATTAGTATTCTGAAAAATAAGAAAAAAAGAATGATGATTTAAAAAGATATATACCCATATATCGAATTTTCCGGGATACCATCGTTCAGGAACTCTAAATTTTAAAGTTATATTTTTTAAGTTAAAATTTTAGATAACTATCGACATCTACAAAGACACAAGGATAATATACGTACCGGCATCCATAGATAATAGCTCCCACAACATAAAACAAACCCATTATCAGCATATGCTTAAGCGATATTACATCGAAACACAGGTGAATCTGCAAATAAGAATTAAATAAGATAATCCAAAGACTGCATATAAATAAATCACATTATCTATATAACCATACCCCGTAAAGTGCAATAGCGTGCCCTATGGGAAATACAGCACTTAGCCCCATTGAGAGGAATAATCCCGTACGAAACCATCGGAATTCCGGTGAACGAAAAGTAGGCGCGACTGCTACTATGATCTATATATTAATTTCATAGCGTTGTGTTAAAGAATAAACAAAATAAATAAATAAAAATATATATATAAGATTTAATATTTTAAAGTACAAAGAGCAAGATATTTACAGTAGCAATTCCAAAGACAGATATCAGTGATAGATATACAATTTGCAAAACACTATTGCAATAAAACCCTAAATTAAAAAGAATTACATGCTATTATTTAGAAATTTATCGGACATTAATTAAAATTTATCTTAAAATAAACATACCGTAATAAATCATAGGATAAAACGAGCCACTATTTTTTTTATTGATCGTTAAAAGTATGTAGTAAAATCGATCCAATAACAGTATTAAACGAAATATCTTATACTAACACAATTAAAGTAACAATGCCAATATAATCGCATCTATTCCAATCAGCGCAAACCTAATTAATATCAGAGACATTGAATTGATAAAAATGAAATTAAATCGAATGGAAACAACCCACAATTTCAGAGGAGCGCAAACCTAATTATCATTAGAAGCATTGAATCAATACAATGTTAAACCAAATGGAAAAAATCCACAATCTTTACCTTTTCTGAATGACAGCAAAAGGTGTGAAATAATGAAGAAAGCGATAAACAAATCATTGCGCCCGCGAGAAAACAGTAAAACACCAGAAAATCCCACCATTTGACAGATGATGTACTTGATAGTGTGTATATGTAGGTGGTGAATGCGAGAACTATGAAACCAACGGCGCCTATAAAGTGTGTCCATATATTCACTAAAAATTGTAATGATCGATCAGACAGATATCTCAAGAAAAGTAATGAATAGAGCGTATTTTACTTACCGCTTTCATTGTGAAGATAAAATAACGATTTTGCACATTTTATATACGAAAAAGTCGGACGGCGATAGCCACGCAAAATGTCGTGGTTATCCTGTAGCCACGAAGGCAGATCTGCAAAATTGCAGGTGAGAGACATAAAAGTCTCATTCACTGCGTTTGCTATCTTTAGGAAAAATTCACGTCGAAATTAGGAAAAATTTCTTAAGATTCTGATCTCAACAAGGTAAAAAAAAATACCTTGTTACCGGCAGAAGCTGTAGATAAAGAAGTTGTTTCCTCTTGAACTGTCGTCTCGGAGAGTGACCGTTTTGAACTTGACATTTTTCGTTGAGAAAGTACTGATTCCATTAGACGAATTTTCAGAACAAAGAGGGAGGAAATGAAAGTAGTTATGTGAGAAAGTGAAAGGATGCAACATGTTTCTGTCTAAAATATGAAAATGTGTGTTGGGGTAACAAGCCAGATATTGGGGAATTTTATTTTTGATTGTACAACAGATCTACAGCACGTTTCAATAAAACCGCGAATAATTACGTCAATTTTTACCTTTTTTATTAACGTTAACATTTAGTTAGCTTCAAAACAAACTTTCAAACATGCCTCTAGTAACCCCAGCACAACTCATAAAACTTCAGTCTTGTCCCGAAAATATACGCAACATTTGCATTCTCGCCCATGTGGATCACGGAAAAACGACACTGTCCGACTCTCTTCTTGCCTCCAATGGCATTATTTCGAGCAAGCTTGCCGGAAAAGTCAGATATCTTGACAGCCGTGAAGACGAGCAAGAAAGAGGAATTACTATGGAAGCTAGTGGCATTTCATTGTACTTCCAAGTGTTACGTAAAACGGAAGAAGTGGGCGCAGGTAAGCTTGGTTTTCTACAGATCTTTGAAAAAATTTTATTTGATTTTATTGATTCTCAAGATAATTTTTTGACTCCAACTAAAAGAAACTGTCACAAATTCTCATGAATATCTTATAAATCTTATTGATTCTCCTGGACATATTGATTTTTCCAGTGAGGTGTCGACAGCATCAAGATTATGTGATGGCGCATTAATTCTTGTGGATGCTGTTGAAGGCGTCTGTTCACAGGTGTGATAAATTTTTCAATTCAGAGGCATAAAACAGAATGTATTTTTTAATTAACTATCATAAATTCTCTAGACTCATACTGTGCTTCGTCAAGCTTGGGTTGAGAATGTTAAACCTGTGCTTGTCTTAAATAAAATTGACCGTCTAATTACTGAACTTAAATTGACGCCTCTGGAAGCATACATTCATCTTAACAAAATACTTGAACAAGTAAATGCTATCGTGGGCACCTTCTTTGCAGGCGATGTACTTGAAGAAGAGACGAGACGGCATGATGCTGAAAAGGTAATGAATTTAAGTATTATTACGTGTAAAAAGCAACAAAATAATATATTCACTTTCATATAATAATATAGGAAAGGATATTACGTGAAGGGAATACTTCCGAAATAGAAATGAGCATAACAGAAATGTCATTAGAAGAGCGTGACGACTCCAATATATACTTTACACCCGAATCCGGAAACGTAATCTTTTCAAGCGCCATAGATGGCTGGGCATTCAGGTAATTTGCCACAATGATTCTTCAAGCATGTACATCTCCGTTGTCATTTATGATTCAACGAAAAAATGACACATTAATTGACTTTGACAGTTGATGTTCCAGAGTAGAACAATTTGCAGAGATTTACGCTTCTAAACTTAATATTAAGATGAATTTGCTTCGAAAAATTCTTTGGGGCGATTATTACCTTGACCCAAAGACGAAACGTATTCTGCAGAATAAACATTTGAAAGGTCGTCATTTGAAACCGATGTTTGTTCAGTTTGTGCTTGACAATATATGGGCTATTTATGATGCTGTCATTTTGAACAAGTAAGGATTTGAATAGACAAAATTGATTTTACGAAAGGGAATTAATACTTTATTCGTATCTAAGCAATCGAGAAAAAATTGAAAAGATTGTAAAGACACTGAATCTCAAGGTTCTTCCAAGAGACATGCGATCTAAAGATACAAGAGCTTTATTGACCTCAATGTTTTCTCAATGGTTGCCACTCTCTAACGCGGTATTACATATCCTTTGCAGCAATTTTTTTGTATTATTTTTTTATTTGTCAAAAGTTTCCTTAACTCTTCGCACTCACCGTCATAGATAAACTTCCATCTCCTTCTGCGGCGCAGCCTAGACGTCTTCCGCGGATGCTTTATCCCCATTCTAATTCTCCGGAGAAGTCTAAAGATGATATAGAGCATGCAATATATACATGCGATTCTAGTGATACAGCACCCATCATTGCTTATGTTTCGAAGATGTTTGCTGTGCCCTTTGAATTACTGCCCGAAAATAAAAGAAAACAATTCACTGCAGAAGAATTAAGAGAAAGAAGAGCGCAGAGAAATGCTCAAAAAGAAATAAAGACTTCTACCGAACTATCAACGAATCATGAGCTTCACGAAAGCGTAGAAAATGAACAATCAAAATCAGAAGCAACCAACGAGACATTTATTGGCTTTGCACGTCTGTATTCCGGGTCTATTCGAGTTGGTCAAAAACTCTTTGCTCTTAAACCAAAATATGATCCCACATATCCGGAAAAGTATTGCACCGAATTCACGGTACAAAACTTATACATGTTAATGGGGCGAGAACTTGAATTACTTCAGGAAGTTCCCGCAGGAAATGTGTTTGGGATCGGTGGGCTAGAGGGCCATATCTTAAAGAATGGTACCTTGAGCAGTACTAAATCATGCAAGAGTCTGGCTGGTGTAGCGCTTGAAGTATGTTAAAAATCAGTATTTATCAAGTTTTTATAATGGGAGCATTTTCCTGAATTCATTTTATATTTTCTAAAGTCTGCACCTATTGTTCGCGTGGCGCTTGAACCTACAGAACCATGTAATTAAAATTATTTTATTATTGGAGCCTGCTTGTATGTTTATATATATATATATATTATATGGAATCAGAAGATCTAATATTGGTTATTTTAGCTGAAATGCCAAAACTTATTGAAGGTCTTCGTCTTCTTAATCAAGCTGATCCGTGTGTCGAAATTCTTGTCCAAGAAACTGGTGAACACGTGATTCTCACTGCTGGCGAAGTCCATCTTGAGGTTTAATATTCTCTTGTAGCTGATTATTTATCACAAAATGAGTAGTCATTTCTAATATGTTACATTTTAATGGAATTAAAGCGTTGCCTCAAAGATTTAAAAGATAGATTTGCAAAGATAGAAATTCAAGTTTCTCCTCCAATTGTTCCGTTCAGAGAAACAATTGTAAACGCCCCAGGTATTATCTACTTTCCTTTTTCTGTAATCAGCTCTCATTCTTTGATTAAACTAGAAAAATCAATTCATAGAAATACAGTCTATCAAAGATAAAGATCCCAATATCCCACATGGCCTAATTACATTACAAACAACGAATAAATATTGTACTCTTAAAGTGCGTACAGTACCCTTACCTTCTAACGTGACCTCATTCTTGAACGAGAATGCAATCACAGTCAAAGCCATGTTAGAAGAACGACAGTGGCGCAATAAATCCGATCTTTTGGCCGGAGAAGAAGATGAAGAAGCGTTAAAAGAAGTGGCAATAAAAAAGGAACGTGTTTTACCGCCTGAAGAATTCTTTGAGCTTTTGGAAGCAGAGTTTGAGAAAGCTTCTGATAAGGATATTTGGAAAGACGTAGTCGAGAAGTATGTTTTGCTATTTTTTGCGTGTATTTTTTCATACAATGATATCTACAATTTCTATTTGCTGTTATAGCATATGGGCGTTCGGTCCAAAACGCGTCGGTCCTAATCTTTTAATTAATCATGTACCTAATTACATTCGAAAATCGTAAGTATCATAACTTCTTGACACTTATTAAGTTCTGCCCTTCTCTCAAAAAAAAAATAGTTCTAATTGCTTAATATTCCAAATACAGATGGCGCAGAAGTCTCATCGACTCAAAGCTCTCCAACTCAACACAAAATGGCAGCTTAGGAATTCCTGCAGGCGGTGGTGAAACATTAAGTGAAAATATCAATAACAAGCAATTGACAATAAAAGATTTCGAAGAAGCTGTTCATACAGGTTTTCAATTGGCCACCAAAGCTGGTCCACTTTGTGCTGAACCGTTGATGGGAGTCGCATATTTTGTCGAGGACTTTTTAATAGATACTGAAAATGCAAGTTGGGAACTATCCGAAGGTGCGAAACAACAATTCGATATAATGCAAGAATTTTTATTTCCTATCAGATTAATTATTGACTTGATTTGCTTTTGACTATAGTGCGCTCTAAAATAGGTGGTCAAGTAATGACCACAATGAGAGATGCATGCAGACAAGGATTCCTGGAGTGGTCACCAAGATTAATGTTGGCAATGTATTCGTGTGATATTCAAGCTACAAGTATGACGATACCTATTTTTCTTTCAAATGAACCGTTTTTTGATAACAAACGCTTACATTAATGAATTATCGTTTAAATTTAAGCTGAGGTTCTTGGCAGAGTTTACGGCGTAATATCTCGGCGACGTGGTCGAATCACTTCGGAAGAGTTGAAAGAAGGCACTCCGTTCTTTGAAGTACATGCTCTTATGCCGGTTATAGAAAGTTTCGGATTTGCTGATGGTTGGTTTGCTTGTTATCTTTGTTTTTTAAATATCATACCATCCAAAAGTGCCACCAATAGATAATTAATTATGATTGACAGAAATACGAAAAAGGACTTCTGGTGCTGCTAGTCCTCAATTGATATTTAGCGGGTATGTGCGAATTCTAGGTTTACCGTGATCGAATGGAGAAAACAAACCTGTTTTAGTAATCGATTTTTTTTTGTTTGTTCGTTTCATATTTAGATTCGAGATGCTTGACGAAGATCCGTTTTGGGTACCGACTACTGAAGAGGAATTGGAAGATCTTGGGGAAAAGTCTGATCGTGAAAATCTTGCTAAAAAATATATGGAGAGAGTTCGTAAGAGAAAGGTATTTTTCCTTTGCTCATTTAAATGGTATTTTGCATCTTTTTGAAATTAATTATTCGTCATTTTTTAGGGCATGTTTGTCGAGCAAAAAATAGTGGAACATGCTGAAAAGCAAAGGACGATCAAGAAACGATAAGCACTTTTTTTGTGCACTCGAAACAATAATGTGAAACACCATGGTAAATGATTAATTTGGTGCATTGTTTCGTCGGTCGAACAGCTGAATTAGTCCTAGATTACATTATTTTATTTTCATAGTTTTCCTCTCCGGTTTTAGGTCTTCTCATTATTTATATGCTTGTGTAGAACATTGTATAGCTTTTAGGCGTGTTAAATAAAGAAATTTTATTGAGCAATAAAAAAGTTGTTCGTGTTATTTCAATCCAAATATATAAATCCCAAAAAATGACAAAATTCAAAGAAGCTAAAACATATAGTGACCAGGAAAGAAAGATGCTAATAAACTCAAGTGATAAGCAAGAACAACAAAAACAACCGATTTCGTCAAAAGAACCACTAAATAAAACAAATAAAACAATACGCGTTGTATTCATAGCATTGTTACTTGATATTCTAGCATTCACAATTATTTTGCCATTGTTCCCACGGCTGTTAAAAGATTATCAAGAACGAGAAGGTGGTGATGAAGTGAGTAGTAGAAATGAATTAAATAGCTATTGGTTTTTTATTTGATTGATTAACTGACGGAATTAAAATTGATATTATTAATTTATCTTTCAATCTAGACAACAATATTATCATTTTTTCTACAACAAATAGAGTTATTTAAAAAAATTATTGGTGGTGATGAAACTGGTCAACATGGCAATCCAAAATGGGATATTGTTTTACTAGGTGGTGCGATAGGCTCATTATATTCGTTTTTACAGTTTGTCGCGTCACCGGTAATTGGCGTGTTCTCTGATCGATATGGTCGACGGAAGACATTATTAGTTACAATGGTAAGTTTTTTACTATTATTATCATTCCGAGTTCTTAAGTGTTAATGAACTCATATTTTTAGATTGGAAATATATTGTCGACAATTTTGTGGTTATTCGCTAAATCATTTGGGTGGTTCGTATTAGCGAGAATAGTGGGAGGTCTGTGTGAAGGTAATGTACAATTATCGATCGCGATTGTATCGGATGTTACGACGCGCGAGACTCGATCAAAAGGATTGGTGGGTAATTTTAGAAACATGAATGTTACTTTTTTTTTATTGGTATTGCCATTAATTATTTTTTATTAGGCGTTGGTTGGTATTGCATTTGCTGTTTCATTTACAATTGGCCCTGCTATCGGTGCATATTTTGCGTCGAGAGATCTAGCACAGCTTTTTCCTCAACTAGTTGAATGGGGTCTTAGTCCGTATTCAGCACCCGCGTTCGTCTCACTAATATTACTTTGCGTAGAAACTTTATACTTGTATATTGCACTGCCTGAAACAACAAATCTTGGAAAATCGCAAAAGAATAGCCTCAATTCATCCACAAATGGAACGTTAAAAGAAAACCACAACAAAATCACCACATTAATACCCCCAAAATACGAGCATCGCAAAAAAACCCTCCGAATTCTAAATTGGCTTCACTTTCTATACCTCTTCTTTTTCGCTGGCATGGAATTTTCCCTTACCTTTCTGACGTTCGATCTATTCGATTTCACAAACATGCAAAACGGCAAACTATTGGGCTATATTGGCGTGTTGTCGGCTCTAATACAGGGTGGATACGTGAGACGTCGTGCGCACATTGTCGGCGAAAAGTATTTAGTGGCGCAGGGAGTGGCAGCGTGTGCTGTTGGGCTAGGTGTTATTGCTTTTCTTACGAAAAGTGTGAATGGTGTCACTTGGCTTTACGTAGGTGCCACTTTCTTAGCGGTCACATCGGCTACCGTTGTTAATTGTTTGACGTCGTTAGCTACAATGCAATGTGATGATGACGGTGATGATGAAATTCACCATGAAAATATGGAAAAGCGAGTTCATTCATCGTCGTCATCATCTTATTCATTAACAAAAGGAAAAGAACTCGGTGCGTTCCGATCCTTCGGTCAATTGGGTCGAGCATCCGGCCCTATAGCAGCGTGTAGTCTATATTGGATGAAAGGATCTGAAATATGTTATGGTGTTGGTGCATTTGCAATGCTAATCATACTCACGATTGTTATTCTTAAAGCTCCAAATATTGATGATGCAAAGTTGAAAAAAAACGTATAAATGGTTTTTTTGATTATATAATAAAATGGTGGCATCTGGAAATTCCACCCTCCCCTCCCCCACCCCACCCAAAAGTGAATGTAAATAATGTAGATCATTTATTTTTTATTTTTCGAGATTTCATAAATATTATTTTGACATTATTATACAAAAAAATAAATTCATTAGATTTATTCTTTGAAATTTGAGAGTAAAATTTATTTATATTTTAATAATCAAATTTTATTAATAATTATATTAGCAAAGATTATTCTCAAATATTAATTATTGACAAGTAAAAAATAAAATAAAAGTTTATTATTAATTATTAATTCACATTTTAATAATCAACTTTTTATTAATATATAAAATCATTATATTAATAAAGCTAAAATAGAAAAAAATTATTAATAAGTAGAAAATAAGTAAAAAGAGTTTTTTTATTACTATTTATTATTATTATTATTATTATTATTATTTTAATATGCTATAGTATAATCCTATCCAAGATGTAAGAAATTATGTTAAATTACAAAATTTAGCTATCCCAGGAACAGTTTTCTATTGTATAAAATAGACTATTAAAATAATCTTTTTAAGAAAATACCAATATGATTAGTCACTGATAGATTAATCTAGAATTAAACTGACAATATAAAGTTAATGAGATTATTATGAGAAGTTGCTAACTGTAACTTTTACTTAATGAAATTAGTATGAGCTAATTTAATATGTTTTGTCAAAGAATAAATATTATTGATATATTGAGAAAATAAGAATTGGCATGTATAAAGATTTGAATTTGTGTATATTCTAAGAATTGTATTATAGAAAATAGAGAATATGTAATTTAAAGCTTTGTCTTTGAAACTTGTATTAGTGATAAGTGAGTATTTCATTCTGACTATTATGTGTAATTGATATTTAAATATTATTTATACTTGATAATAGGAGAGTTATATAGTTTTTTGAAATTGTGAAATAAACTAGTAGATGAAAAGAATTGAGATTTAAAGAATTCTGGTTTAAGATAAGAAAATATGAAGAAAAGAAATGAGCATTCATGATATCAAATTACCAAAAAGATGAATAATAAAGATAGGTAAGAGATATGACAAATTATTTATAGATAAACTAGATAGTTGTGAGTTGACAAATTATTTTCAAATAGTTATAAGAATGAAAAAGTTAGTATGTGATATTGATAATAAATAAGAATAGATAAGAGAAACCAACTTATATAATATAAATAATAGAAGAGTGTGTAGAAAATTTGCTAAATGAAAGTATTTCCAGATATGACAAATAGTTTTAGGATAAGATTGATATTAGAAATATAGATCACTATTATATAATACTAATTTGCATTTATGAAAATAGATTAAGAATAGGTAAAGAAGATGTAATAATTTTTATTATAAATATTTGATTAGAAATATAGATGAAATTATTCTTATCTATATATTTTCAACAGTGATAAGAAGCTTTTCAGTTAATTAGAGAAGTAAGAGAAGGTGATAGAAAGTTTTGAATGTATATGAATTATTGTTATATAAGAGTATTTTGACTATTATGAAAGTATTTGATAAAGTATTAGAGATTAGAATTGATTAAAAGATTTTTGCAGATTGTAGAAAGAAATTTTATTATAAATAAATATTAAAATTTAGTTGTGATTGATAACTAAATACATTCTTCTTTTGCAAGTCTGTTGGCTATATTATTATCAAAATTATCAGAGTAATCTTTTATCTTAGCTAGTTTAAAATATTTATTTTTTATTTTAATATTATGAGCTAGAATCTCTTATAAATATCAATATGATTACTGATAAAGCTTATATTAGGATAGAATATATTAGTTAATGGTATTCTTTATATAATCTTATATAGTAGCTTAACTATTTATATGAATATTAATATAATTTTTAGATGATGTATATTCAAATATTATACAGATTATGAAAGTTTATGCTTTAATAATAAAGAGTATTTCTAATATTAAAAAAGAAATAGATGCTAATAGTGATCATGTTATCTATACTACATCTACTTTTATTTATATAATAAGTGAATTTTGTATTGAGCTATCTAAATAGATAGTAAGCTGATTTGAAATATTATTAAGTATAATAAAAACTTATTATTATGAGATAGCAGATATATTTAAGTTAGTAAAGTATAACATGACTGATATTTGAGAATTAATAAATAATAATATTGATAAGTATTGGTTAGATATATAATAAGTAGTTTTATCTTGTAGAATTATTTACTTAAGTATGATAAATCATTTGAGTTTTGTTCTATATACTATTTGTCTAAATTATTTTTTATATTATTTCTATATAATAAGTCATATATCATTATATTTAATAAGCTATTTAAGAAATATTACTTTATCCTTTTTTAAAGTTATATAATATTTAATATACAGAGATCAGAATATGATAATATTATAAAAAGAACTATCTATATAAGAGAATTATCATAAAAGTTATTAAATAGTATTAGAAGTAATAAAACTGATATATATTTCTGTCATAAAAAAAGAATATTTACAATAAGATTTTTATCAAGAAAGAAGTATTTTAGTATTAGAATGAATAAAACTAAATGTAAGAGTCATCTTTATTCTTGTAGATCTTATAACTGAATTTGAATAATTTGAATAAGTAGATCATTATTATTAATGAGATATATAAGTTTACTAATCTTGTAATATAATTATAATTTCTATATATTTGTTAGATTAAAATAGTTTTTGTGATATAAAAAAGTATTAGATATATCTTAAGCTATATTAGCTTTAACTTTAAGTAATTTTTTATAATAATATATAATTGATAAACAGAATATTTTAGATAGAATAATAAATTAAAATTTATATTCAATAATTAGAAAAAATATATTATTAATAAGATTCTGAATAATTCAATTTGGTTCAGTTTTTAGCAAAATCAAAACTAAATTAAATTTTTCAGTTTAATTTTATAAGAAATTAATTCATAGTCCTATAGTTTAATTTGATTCTAAAAAGAATCAGATTTAATCTGAATATGTGGTATTATAGTAAAGTGAATCATTATTTTTAGTAACTTAGTTGACAGATTAGTAGCAGTATGTAATAGTTAGTGCTAATATTTTTAAAATTGGATTTATTGTTCTAATATGAGGTAAACCATATAATTATTATGGAGTAATATATTAAGCACCAGATAAATAATAATATTGAATGATGCAGTTTCTAGTTAATATTTTATACTTGATATCTATTTTGTCTATTTGTCAAAGTTCATTTTGGAAATGTATCATATTACATGTGAAGAGACTTTATAAGAGTCACTTTCTCTTAGATGAATACCTAGTGAAGATAAAGCTATTTGTCTGTGACAAATAAAAAATATGAGCAATCATTATGTGTTAAATAATGAAATCTTATTCCACTTTTTGATTATAGGGGTGAATAAGTTAAATAATATTAAAAATCTAAATTAGGTATTAATTAACAATATGCGTAGAAAAAGTGAGTACTTTGTAAAAAAGATAATTTTTAAAATATCATAGCTATAATAGTAGTAATTAGATGAATAAAAAGTTAAAAACTTGAAATTTAATTCCTATTAATACTAAGAGATAGATTAATTTATAGTATTAAAATATTATAATAAGAGCAAAAATTTATTTTTTTATCATTTTACTAAGAAATATATAAGTGTAACTATATATTATTCATTTTATTAATCCTTAATACTAATCAACAATTACTTACCATAATACATTTGCAAATTTTAATATTATTTTATAGCCTTTATTAGAAATAAAAACTCTAAATTTGGTCATGTTGTTAATGAACCATATTCTAATCATTTAATATACTTTTGTTCATGATAACTATCTAGATGAGTGAATACTAAATAAATAATATACCTAAATTCAAGTCTGAAATAGTAGGAATTATGATTCAAAATATCAAAGACAAATGTATAAAGTCAAAAGAATTATTTTTTCCAGATCATACCATCTTTAATTGAGATAAAAAAAAAGTTATATATAATAATCTGAGAGAAGATAGTTTGGCATGAGACTTTTGATAGTTGCATTACCAGAAATAATAAAAATAAAATTATCATTTTGGAATCCAATATCTCAAAATCCAGTAATCCTATTTAAATGAAAATATTTACCATAAGATTTGTAAAGTGATAACAAATTTAATAAGTATATTTTTATTTAAATTGAATTATTAGATTTTGAGATATTAAATTTCAAAGTGACAGATTTATTTTTAGGATTTCTGATAATATATTATAAAGGTGTGTAGTATTTGATTAATATCTACAATTTGCTTTTAACACATAATAACCATTCAGCTTGTGAACTTACAAAAAAATAAAAACATATTCTGCCTGAGATCTGAACTATAATATTTTGATAAGAAAATGTAATGATAATGGAAATATGGTATGAACAAGATTTTTTTATTTTATTATCACTGCTCCTCACTCTAAAAATCAATATTAACAGAGATTTCACAATTCATTTCCTACATATTATCAGCATCATTTCAATAATTTCTTATAGTATCATAATCTATAGTAGAACTGTAAAAGAAATAAAACTTGAGCCATATATTCATGTGATATTAAAGATATTTGCAACTTTAGTATATGACTTTCCATTTAGTGCTTCTAGTGAAATTATTCTTAATTTTTTATCTCTATTAGATTGATAAGTAATAAGAGTATTAACATATAATAATATATTTCCAGTGTGAAAGTCATGATCTATAAGTTTCTTTTCATAAATTTCTTCTAGAACATAAATAATATACTATAAATATCATCCTAAGTTAATTTGTTAATATATTTGCAAATGTCTATTTCATCATAAATTGAATTAGTACTTATTCTAAAGTAATTATTACAGTACTTTAGAGTTTGTTGAATGGTTTAATTATATTAAAAGTCTTGTTTACATATTAAAAAATTAAAAATTATATAATTTCTATCTCATTTATAA